GATAGACAAATTCTCAAGGACATCCTAAGTCCAGATTTGTTTGTGAGCAATCCTGCGGAAGTTCCAGTGTAGGCCGTATATGCATATGTGCGTTGTTTGTATAATACATATATATATATATATACATAGTATATTACTTGCCCCTTGTTGTCCATATACGGTTGCCAGATTTATATATATATATAAACCCGGGCTTCCTGCCAGGTCTTTGACCAGTCCCCAGAGGACCTGGACATGCATGTCATCTATGCCGGGATTGCCCAGAATCACCCAGATCCAGTAGCAAAAGTATCCGATGAATCCCTGTTTCCATTGTTTCCATGAGAAGTCAAAGGGAGACCACCCATTTCAAGGCCCTTCGAGGCATGTTACGGGCTCGTGCAAGAGCACATGACAGTGATCGCGGGCTGCAGCACAACAAGCCACGTCAAAGCAGTCACGCGACAGGGCCCACCATCTAACAACCCCGCGTTGGTTGGCGCGGTTTGTGGAGAAAACCAGAACCCCTTCGGCTAGCAATGGTAGGTCCCATAGTTTCCCAGACCTTCAGCGCCCCTTTGTTTCCTGGGTGGGCTTTCCTTGAAACAGCCCAAAGATCCGGTTCTCCACCTCGAAATCTGGCCAGGATTCCACGGCTCTCCCTTTTGGAAGAGCGACCTCAAAAAGGGGATTTGCGGCCTCTCCCCAAAAGATTCCAATGTATCTTCAGATTTTTAAGAACCCGTATGTTCGGACAAATGGTTGTATGTCACGTCTTGTGCGTCAGCGCCACGCAAGCACGAAATCAAGATGTCAGGTGCTTGGTGCGTATTCCAGCGCTACGTGTTTGTGGGGTGCGTGCCCCATGTACCCCATATGTAATGCGCTTTGGTCCACTTGGTTTGCAAAGGATATATTGTTGGGGCTAGGGGCACTTTGCCATGCTCCTTGAATGCTTAGTTCCGACCAGAGAAGTGCTCCATCTCGGGACACATCCAGACGGTTGTCCAAATTGGGCATGCCGTTTTGGGCCCTTTCCAAATAGGACCTTGAGATGTATCTTAAAACAAGCGATTTGGCCCATGAAGGTCCCTTACTTTTGGGTTCCTTCATTCAAGTTGGCGAACTGTAGACAGTGCGGAGCCGTTTGAGGCTCACTGCAATTCATATGTCAATATGAACTACGGCTGTTATTGCTGGATGGTTGAATGGTCAGGTCTTCCCACCTCGTTCTTCAACCCTGCACCCGTTTGGGCTCATTGATCTGGTTTCCAACGCCGCATGTGTTTGTAGTCTCAGGCACCTATATGTCATGCCGCCACCTTGTTTTTGTTGGAGGTGTTCCTACCTCGTTTTGCACCTGCTTTTTTTCTGTAAATACTGTGCAGTAGAACCCTTAGTGCAGATGCCACTAGCTTGGGAAAAGACGCTGAAACCTTCATTCGGACCAAGAGTAATTTGTGCAGATTGGCTGCCCGGTGGATTGACGAAATTCTGCACCAAGGGATGAATAAGACCCTATGAATATGGGGCTATGGCTAAACCTGACAAGCCACCTACCAACTGCGAAGTGGATGTTGACCATCTCCTAGCATTGGAAGCCGACATTACCAGCCCTCCCTCTCCCATGTCACCTGCTTCCAGATAATGGTAGTCAAGGTGTTTTAATCCCAAGGATTTTGTATGGTTTCCCCTGAAATGCTATGGGAACTGGAAGCACGTGGGCCATGCTAGTCATGTGAGTCACATTCTTTTTTGCAGACCATGGGGGCCCCTCCTATATTCCCAACAACATCCAGAAGAAATGGGCTGACATGTGACCAAGGACGTGTCACACAACATCGCCAAGGTCGAGGAGCATGTGGCCACGCACTCAGGGCTCGCATCTGCAAGCTGTGCCCGGCGAATCCAAGGCAAGCCGATACTTTTGGGTGGAATTCACTCCAAAAAATGTGCTTTGCTTAGTGAGTTCCAGATTAAACGTGTTGAAAGCCAAAACCGGGCCTCTTTGTCAATCCGTTTTGTTTGGTGGGCTTAGGACCCACTGAGACTGGAGATCAACTGCAAAAAGACTTGGTTCTAGTTGTGTCACGTGGATCGGGCTGCTCCATCCACTCCTTTTGTTTGGTGGATTGGGGACACGCTAAAAGTGGAATCAACCCCAATGAGAGAGGGATCCTTCTCCTGGGACCAACCTGCTCGTGTTATGAGTGGCAGGGGGGCGGTCTCCTGTCGAACAGAAGCCATGCACTTATCCGCGCTCGAAGCAATCTCCAGTTGAACCTACTTGGATCCTGTGGTTTTTCGAGGCATTTTCTTTTGGTGCCTGGGACCCCCCCGGTGTCATGTCACTTTCAGGTGGACGGGTGCTCCAAGCAGCTGCTGGTGCACCGAAAGGGCTCCACCCGCGCGTTCCCGCAGGGGAGCCCAAGGGATCGTCAAAACCTCAAAACCTTGGGATCAAACAACGTGGGGGATAGCTGATATCGGTTCTCAGACCCCAGGATGTTATCTGGGATATAAAGATTCCTTTTGGATCAAAAGAGGTGTTTTGGGGTTTGGGGGATACCTCTTTCTATTTTTGTCTAACTCTTTCTGGGTTTGAGCTCCGTGCCTGATTGCGGATCCGCAGATCTTGGGATAGCTATCTCAGTTCAAAGTCGACCTTTCGACCTTTTGGGTTTTCCCATTTTGGTCGCAATTGTGTCATGGCCCCAAAAGCTGAACCATTTGTTTCTGGGTCCTTTGGGCAACTGGGCCATTTATTAGCTTGGCTGAAGGGAGGTGAAGCGGAAAACCGCCATGTTTGGGGTCTCCCTATTTTGACTCATGCTGATATGAGTGCCCTCGCTAAACGCGGCTCCTCCCTGTGGTTTGCTTTAGGGATGAAAGGTGTCAGTTTGTGCGGCTTTTTCAGTGAGGCTGAGAGGGGAGGTATGTGTTGTCATCCGCCATCTTTCAAGCCCGGAAGTTGGACCTTTCTGGGCCCATTTCGCATTACAAACATGCAACCATTTGAAGGCATTCTTGGTGTTGCCACATTGCACTCCTTGCATTGACTTCAAGCTTGAGTAAGCAAATAATAAGGATAACACACCACTAACTTGTTCCAGGTGAATCCCTTGTTTGTGTGCAGGAAATCATGGCTGGACAAATCATAAAAGTCCACCTACGATGAAGGTCCTTTTGCTAGCGGTTCTTTTGCTTTGTTAGGCATAGTTGTGGGTGTGTGGCCAGTTTGTGGAAAATCCATTTCTGGTCTCTATCAGAAATGGAACGAGTTGTCGTAAATTTGGGAGAACTCCCACGGCGTTTTTTCGGCTTGAAGCGTTGCATCAGGCCTCACCACCCACTGATCCCCGTGGACTACCAGCTCACGGGCCAGCCGGTCATCGTGGGAGGCCTCGAAAAGGGGCGGAGCTGAAGCTCCAAAGGTGCAAGTTCCAGCCAGTGAAGCGGGGCCCAAGAAAAGGATGGCGTTTGGACCAGGTCAATCAGTCGCCTTTGTCAGCCATTCTAAACAGAAGCCATTGTGAAGAAGGTGGGTTTGGGATGTGAAGGAGCCCTGCTTGACCTTATCCACCAGACCAAGAGGCCAACCAAAAGGGTGGGAATGCTCAGGAGTATTAGCGAGACAGGGATGGTGAGCTAGGCGAGGGCATGGTGATACCTGGAAACGAGCGTACTGTATTGTGAAATGTGGTAAGCTCTTGCACATCTTCAACAATGTGTGAACAGAGCCTACGTGTGAGTTAAGCATATTGCAGAATATGTTTCAAGGGCTTTTATACTATTTGTGTCATCCTTTGTGGGATGATGCCAGATGTTTTTGCGAATGGACGGAGATGCCCAACCATTCCTTCTGGCCACCCTCCAAAGGAAGCAACACTTAGCAGGATCAGCTAAAACAAAGGCAGACATGTTTAAAAAAATAATCAACAAACATAAAAATGTTTAATGTTTTTGGAGCCAGTCAAAGTAGCTGAGGATGTGGAAGCATCACAAGGTGGGCTTGGCCGCTTTTTCCACTGACACGATGTGGACAAACACGGCACCAAAAAGGTGAGCTCATGCAATTTGTGGCATGCGCTCCATGTGGGCGCTTCTCGCATTCGCCGAGAGCGTAATGGAAGCCCGGGCGCAGGCACCATGGGCACCTGTTCGTATGTCCTCACCGGTACAGAGAAGGGCCCGGCACCCGAGTTCGCACCGTTGGGCTTTGGCGTGAGAGACCCCGTGCCCTCCGCTGGAGAAACGGGGCATATGTTGATACCCTTGTTCTGCACGTCACCTTTCAGGGGTCAGTTTACCGTGAGTTGCGATTGGGTGTATTATGCTTAGGCAGAAGTGTAGAGAATGCGAGATGGATATAACTGCCAGCACCTCCCTCACTTATTTTTGCAGCTTTGGCACTGATAAGCCTCCACTTTCTCGGAGATGGCCGTTGGAAGCTGAGAGCCAATTTGCAGATGTTGTTTTTGTTTGCCTAAGGGGATGGTTCATGTTTGTTCAAGAAAAAACACACCCTCTGTTTAACACCCAGGACACGCAAGCACATGTGCATCCTTTGGGATGCGACAAAGGGCGAACCACGAGGATGCATTTTTTTTGGGGGGGGAGGGGGGGTGTCGCCTATTCTGACATACCCAGAAAGGTCAGCCAGGAAGGCAGGGACACGCCCGTGACAAAAGCCGCCATTCACAGGGGCCTTGTTCCATGCTAGTTTTGGGGAGCGGCAGCACGTCAGGTGCTCTCTTGGTTGTTCAAATCATGGGCCTCGTTCGTTGGGATTAGGTGGCACTTCTACATGTGAACGGCAGATGCTAGAAAGTGCGCATTGTGCGAGTTCCGTTGAGTTGCGGCGCCTGATCTACTCAATGAATGCGGCCTGGGTTGAGGCTTTCTTGCCCCCCAAACCAAGGGGGCCAAACGAGAGATGCAGGATCCGTTCGGCTCGTGCCGAAGCTATTTTGACGGGCTTTTGGCTTGAAAAGCATCGCCTTTTGTCAGATCCTTGCCGCAGCGTACTTGGCTCTCGCGTATCAAGATGGCCATGTGGGTTTCCAACACAGAGGACGGATCGTGATCACTCTTAAGGGAGGGCCAGGTGAGTTGGTGTTTAACACTGTCCCCTTGATTGGGAAGACAAAGGGCGGCTGGTTCAAAGATGCTATCAACTAGAGGGGGAAACAATGGTGTGTTTCCCACTTTTGGGGAAGGAAACCAATTTCTGGGCCGACCCCATGTTTGTAGGGTCCCATTTGAAGTGGCAGCCTCTAAATCCCTTTGTGTTTGGTGTCCGGACTAGTGGAAGCAACTTGTCCAAGGACTGGTTCTTGCTTCCTGTTTGTAGGATCACCTTATTCGGCGGTTTCCTAATGAGCATTTGTTAAGTTCGGTGGCCCCACCAGACATAGAGAAGCATGGCTAAGTTTAGTTTCAGTTTGATTGGTGGTTTCCCAACCAAGGATACAGATGATGAACCATCCAGAAGAATAGTTCCCCTGCTCTCCAAGCGGGTGGGTTGCGTTTTGAGGAGAAGTACTGGGAGAAGAGTACGGTGGATGAAGCCGCTCGCCGTCGCCTGAACGGCGAGTCTGCGTGGTGTATGGATCACGTCAAGAAAATCAAGGCGCCCAGATCGCTTGCTGATGGCTCGTCGTGGAAGGTGTGCCTTTGGTTTCGAGAGGATCCCACTTGCCACAGAGCTCACTATCCCTTTCTGTGGATTCCCCTCATGATTCTTTCGCCGATGCTGTGATGCTCAACGTGGGCGCTCCTTGCATGTGAAAAAAGGAATGCGTCATGCCGTGTTCAACGCAGTTTTCCAGGAACCAAACCTTTGATTTGGCTGGTAAAAACCAATGAAAAGGCAACCCTGCTTGGGGAGGACGTGTCAGAGCATAAAGTAACTCACGCTGTGAGTAATTGGGAAATGTCCTTGTCCCATTTTGAGCTCGTCACGGCGAATTCCTGTTTCGCGCCACGGCGGAATACAAGCCGTGGTCCTAGTTACGAGTTATGGTCCTTGTCCTTTCCACCTCCTTTTTGAGGGCAGCAGAGATCCTAGAGGGGCTCTATACGGAAGGCAGGGAGTCCCGTAATTTTGCTTTTCTTCGGGAATACAAAAAATCAAGCTTCCACTCTTGCATGGGCCCAAGAGTGTGGTTCGTAAAGGGCAGTTCCAAGTTTATTCACTGACAACCAGGAGTTGCAGTTTTCACTGTAGTAGTTGTAAGTACTTTTCCCTGTGGTTTTGACATCATGGTGTCTCTTGGTTGCCAACTATGGGGGTAACGCGCTGAACTGGCGGTGGAGGAGCCTCAAAGGGAGGGGACTTCGGGGATGGAGGTCAGGGGAGGTTTGCCTTTTGACCTGCCCTTTTGAAGGCAACACACAATGAATTCTAGAGTCATTGCCAGAGTTGAATTGCTCGTTTGCCCTTTTGGGGTTCCTTCATTTTTCCCCGTAATCAGAGAAATCTGCTTTTTGCAGGGGTGCAAGTCTGCCCTCTGCCCTCTGCCCTGGAGTGTCAAAAAGCCACAAAGCATACAGCAGCTTCACCAATGAACACGTCAGAATAGAGCAGCTTCACCAATCTTCACGTCAGTGATATCTTAGCTGATGTTGACGTGGATTTAACGAGGGTTGACACAAGGCTGCGCTGCTTCTGGCCTATGGGTCGACGAGCATGGGGGCTGTGGGTCATAATTGGCTTCACCCCATGGTGTTATGTTGAGGAGTTTTTGGAGTGTCTCAAATTTGGTAACCCTTAGCTGGAGAAGGAAGCTCTAACCAACCTTCAAACCGCCAGTCCAAACAAGGGTCAGCTGATAGAGAAGCCCTGGGTACGTCAAAATACTGGAACCCCTTTGACGTTGGGTTGTTTGTTAGTTTCCGCAACCCCCAAAAAGCCTTTTTTGGGGGAAGGGTTCTCCTAGTAAAAACAAACTACAGAAAAAACATCGGGCACCCTTTTTCTACCCTCTCTACTGGACCTAGTTGTTTTTCTGAACAACAGATTGGAGTCTTGCAAAAAGGCCAAAGAGGAACTGGGCACTAGGCTTGCAAACATCCCAAAAAGGGAAAAAGGGAAAAAGGGGGAGGTACCCTTTGAAAACATCCCAAGCTCTTGGGTTCCCTTTCACCGGCGGTTCAGTCCACCTCGACCGCTGGACCGCGAGGCGGCGGGCGGCATCTCGCTGAACCCGGAGCACGGCTCGGACACGGCGGCGGACCAGCCCTGGGCCATCGATGAGAGCTGCATGGCGCGGCCGAGTTGGGACGAGAGGGAAAGGCTTTGGGGGATGGTTTCAAAGGGAAACCGGAAGGAAAACCCACCTGTTAGTGGGGTGCCCCTAAAAGAAGCCACCAAGTGGTCGGAACTGGTTGAAACTTGTGTTTAACTTGACACCCAGGGAACCACCAAGAAGTTGCTCAAACAGAAGGGCTTAAAGTAAGAAGGCGGGGGGTTGGCACAGTTTGGCCCTGAGGGAAACCAAGTGGTTTGGCCGATTCGGCCAACTTGTTTTTCAGCACCGAGAGGCCAAGCTCGCTGACACCTACTGCCTTGTGACGACTGCCCTGCGCCTTGGAAGGAAGAAGGGGGACTGGAGAGGAAACCGGCCGGACAAAAAAGATGGTGGAGAAGCTCCAAAAAAGGTGGGTAAGCAAGAATCGGAGTGGACCAGTGAAAGGGGGGAAAAGTACTGCCGAGAGAGAGGGGGACAGAAAAGAAACCGGCAAAGGGCCGGAAACACAATGGGAAAGGGGGGAGATGTGCCATAACGAACAAAAACGCGAGGAACAAAAGGGGAGGACATGAATTGAGGAGATTCTCTGACCTGTTTCAGCTTGGCCAAATAAGTAGTACTGATGCATCATGTCAACCACCCAGAAAAGGAAGCGCAGGACAGGCAACAAAGGTGGGCAACCACCTGGTGTAAAGAGAACATAAGACGGCTGGGTAAGCAAGAGTTTGAGAAATCCGCAAGCGAGATAAGTTAGCAAGCTAGGTGCTGACTGGCATTTGGACGGAGATGTTGGAGGAAAGTGCAGCTGGGTAGGTGGTGGGGCAAAGAAGTGGGGGGGGGGGGCCACGTGCACAAGTTCGCACCACATATGTACAACCAAAATGCAACATAATGTATGTCCAAACCTGACCATATACACAATATGACTAATACTCTTTGTGTATATTTGTATTTCAGATTCGACACAATGCTGCAACATGCCCACCGCATCGGCTTGTGGCATCCATGCGATTGCAGGGCCTTGCGTTCTATGTTCCGTGACAGTTTTCACACACTTTGGAAGCAATGTCATCAGATTTGTCACTCTTCCAGAAACGCGTATTCCATTTGGGTTAGGTGTATACGGTCATGTGTCGTTTTCTGTCCTGTTGCTTTGAAAGGCACATGGCCCTTACCCGCACACAATTGCAGTTTTTGTTGGCACCTTAATCGCCTGCAAATGGGGACATGTTTAAATTTTGGGGTCTCCTCCGAGCTGATTGTAATTGTCAAAGTTGACGAATTATGAACCAGAATCCGAATACGTTGTGTTCGGTGTATGCGGTGCCGAGCATTGCTGCTGCAATGCGTGTGTGTGTGCCCCCTCCCCTTGTGCTCCCAGCGAGCCTTCGCAGCCAGGTGGATGCTTCCAAAGGCCATCATCTTTGTGCTTCCCATGCTCCTGCTGAACATCCCCTCCATGGTGGTGATTCGTTGCTACGCGGGCTCCTTCAAGCCAGGCCGATGGACACATCCGGGGCTCCTGAAACAGGCCATGCGCAAAGGGGCCCCTGGCCTTTTGTCGCAACCAAAGGACCCAGACAAAAGGATTCTGGAACTTTGGCTATTAACCAGCAGAGGAACCAAAAAGCAAGGACTGAAGGGGATGGAAGACCCTTCTGCAAGACCCCGGTTGGGCGAAGCACGCGCTCCGATCACCGAACATTCACCAGACATCTCGGCTACCCAACTGGGACAAGCATGCAGTTTGCAAGTCGTCATCTCAGGGTGAAACTGCAAGGCAAAGGGGGATAGACATGGGTGTGGGTCAAAATTAAACCGCCAGGGGGCCTGTTTTAGTCATGGATTCAATTTACCAGCGTAACCTATCTGGGGTACCCATTTTTGACCCACAGCCACATGATGTTTTTTTTCCACGGGCCCTGTGGAAGCAGAGCTGATCTCTTATGGCAACTGGCCGTGGTGAGAGGCTGAAAAGGATTGCCAATCAGGCGAGGTATCCATCGAGTTTCTACGGCCTGTCCTTTGTTCGGGGGTCCTTGTATTTCCCTTTGTGGTTTTAAAGACCGGTTCTTGTTGGTGCCGGTCTTAGCCAAGTTTCCCATCGGAATCTTCAAAAAGGGGCATGCGACACACTGGCTCACACATCTTGGCGTATTCTCCACGGTGAGGGTGAGTGTCAACGCCCATAGCGCCGCATAGCGCAACAAGTACGTTTCAAGGACCTCATGGAGGCATCAATTCATCTAGGGTTCCCTTTGAACTTGTGGGGTGGGTTCCCTACCTGACACAAGCAAGCTGCTTGGAGCAACCCCAGGGGGGGTTCTGGGGTTTGCCATATCAGCGTATTGAGAAGTTGTTGGCGCTCAGTTTGAGGTGGGTGGAAATGTGTATGTCTTCTTTCCCTGCACCAAGCGTTGACCTTGGGGATGGGGTGGGAAGGGGCATAATGTTAACGTTCACTCAGACGGCGCGCAGCAGTTGAGAAGTTGTTGGCTTTCGGTTTGGCGTGGCGTGGGGAGATGTGAATGTCTTCCTTCACTACGCACAGCATGTTGTGTCCCCCCAAATGGTGAATGATTTTTTTTTGGTGTCCCTTTTTAAACACCAGCCAATTGGTATGTGTCCCTTTAAACCCCCAGCCAAGTTGATATCTTTCGCCTCAAACGGCAAGCACACAGAAGACACCTCATCTCTACGGTTTGATTCCCCATTCTCTTCACCCAGCGTTCTCTTAAGAAATCACCTATTTTCCAGGGTGTTGGCCATTTTTTGAAGAGAAGGATCCCTGAAGAGAATGGTCAAAACCAATGGTACCATTTTGGCGTAGGTGCACCACCCATTTTAGTCTATTTCGACCCATGGCCATATCTTTCGCATCTCAAACGAGCACAAAGCACCTCGCAGCTCAAGCCAGGCACCGACGAGGTGAAGCGCAGCTGTGGCTATTGGCTCTCCTTCCTGTTGGCCGCGTTTTGCTACATCCCCGCGGGGATCCTCGCCATCGTCATGCTGACGCTCGCCTCAAACCAACCAAAGCGAGGCAAGAGTCTAAGAGGACCTCCCCCTACCCACGGGTTGGCCCTAAGGAAAGGCCGGGTTCTGAGGTTATGACTTTTGATCGGGTTGTTTGTTGGTAGCATTTAGATGGGGCACGGGGTCAGGTTATATTTTAGGCCAAGGCCAGTGAAGCTTTTATCAATTATCTGCATTTTTCATGCTAACCTCAGAAAGTTTAGAACCGGCTCCGGGGGCCCATGGTGAATGTTCCTTTCTTGGCCAGGGTGTCACAGCGCTATTTCGAGCTTTTGGTTCGATTTCCCTTGGAAGGATCAACCATAGGTTCATGCTGCCGTTTGAAGCAATTTTGATCAACTTGATTTCAATGGGGAAATGATCCGCCCAGGTGGCTGGATTACGTCTTCTACTGGATCTTCGGTCTGGTCTTCTGCCTCTTCACCTTCCGTTGGTGCGCGGTTTGGAAATCCATGCGAGCGCTGGATCCGTATCGCAATGGCCCCTGGATCATTTTGCACATCCCTGACCTCTACACCGCCTTGATCGGCCAGACCAACCGCCAGGGTGTGCTCCTTTCACCCAGTTTGGGCATCCTTTTCGCAGACCGATCTTGGAGTCTGTTTGCTGGGTGAATAGGTGTCGTTGAGGGTGCCTTTGCTGTTTTTTTGGGGGACAGCGTTCACGCAAACACCTATTCTTGGGGATGTTTCGCATTTCGAGACCCATCTACTTTACCCTCCCTTGAGCGAACTGTTGGTGCGGAGTTGCCTTTCCAACAGTAGACTTCCAAACTTGAGGGGGGGGTGCACTTCCAGGTTTGTTTGTAGGACATAATGTGTTTCTCTCCTATGCGGAAAGAATCAGACATATGTATAACTTTTTCCCCAACAATTTGCCAGTATGTTCAACTATTGACCTGCAAGTTGACTGTTGCAGGCTACGTTAGTTCTCTTGAGTCTAAATCCAGCCAAGGTTTGAAGTGACCTACACCTTGGCAACCTGCTTGTACATCATGCCCTGGCTCAAGTACTACATGAACTGCACCTCGTGCTGCAAGTGGATGTCTGAAGGCAACAGTTTTGGAGCATGGCGATTCCTGGCAGCGCAGCATGTGTATTGGATTTGTCTAGTGCGGTCTAGTGCCACGGCCACAGCACATAGCTATCATTTGGTGTTTCTTCTGGGCCCGCTAGACTGTATTTGTGGTGGTTCAACGCATTGATCGTGTCCCTTGAGAGGACTTTAGCATCCATGCCAGATGAACTGGAGAGCAGCACGTGTCTTTTGTTCCGATTGACGCATTCTCTGATTCCATGGGCTTTCTTGTGATTGGTCGGTTTGCCCTTTCTGTTTGATGATTTGTTTGAACCTTTTTCACCATCAATAAAGATCCCCACAGCTGGAAGAACTCCCTTAAAGTCAAGGCTTGTTAGCACTCCCCCCCCCAATGCCTGGGTCTCCACTGCAACCGGTTGCTGGAGAAATGCTTGGGGCAACAGAGGGAGGTAGTAGAGTCCTTTACTCGCTGGTTTGAAGAAGTTCTTGGCCAGTACAGGGATTTGACAAAGTCGTGCCTCCGTTTGAGGCATTGCTTAAATTCCATGGGGGAGAGGGCTTCGAAGAAGTCGTGTCTCTTTCCAAAACGCATAGGATCTCTGCATGTTTGAAGGGATAGGCTTTTGGGAGGCATTGCAGTTGAAAATTGTTAGTCCGTGGGGTTTAGGATGGTTTAGGCATGTTCTATCTTATCCGCCTAGGAGCGTTTACAGTGTGTTTCGCAATCTTTTGCTACAGCTGGTTCGAGTCGGCGCCTTGCTTTTCCTCTCACCTGGACTAGCCTGGCGTGTTTGCAGGGCTGAGCGGGTGCGCTTGAGGGGGTGCTTATTATTTGGCTGGCGGCTGTGCAGCGCTGAGCCAGTGTGCTTGAGAGGGGGTGCTGACGATTTTGCTGGCGTCTGTAGGCGCGCTTGAGCAGCTGGCGTTCGCAGGTGCGAAATTGAGTCGAAAAGTGGGTGTGGAAATGGGTTGATGGGAGCGGGTGCAGAAGTGAGTGAACTTGTGGGCGCGGGTTCGGCACATGTGGGCCCAAAATATCCCAAAATCTTCAACGGACGATCGGTGATCTCGTTTTGATCTCGTTTTGATCTCGTTTTTTTGCCAGGGTGCATTGCATATGTGCCTGCCTGCCTTCCAGAGAAAGAACTCCAGGACGTGGAAAAACACGGTGCAAGAGCCTGCAAAGCACACCCATTCTGTCACGTCTTACTAAGCTCTCCTGCAACAACCTATCGTATGCTTGGCGTTCCATTGGTTTTCATGTTCCTGCAGACGCCTCGCGGAGCTGGAAAACATGCTTTGCCATCAGTAGCGTTCCATTGTGTTTCAGTGTTGAAGCCTGTCTTTTTGTAGCATGACCAGCTCGGTGATGTCAAGCGTTCCATGGGGATTGTTGCCGAGGCGTGACTTAGGAGTGACTTCTTGGAATCGGCGTTTACATGGGGGAACACATGGCCACACAGACAAAGGAGTGACTTAGGCATGACTTTGTCGTTTGCCTGTACCCAGTTCAGTGGTCGTATTTTGCGCATGTTTGCTGGTCTTGCTGGTTGCGTTGGTTCAAATCTTTTGTTAGTTGCATCTTGCCTCCTTGTGAGATGTTTGTTGGTGTGTAATTGGTTTCAGGCGGTTTGTGGTTCATTTGTTCAAGGTTTGTTTGCCGTCTTGCTTTGTGTTTTCTTGCATCGGTTCGGTACCTTGCTTCGTTCGGCGCGCCCAGCTCCCTTCTGTCCGGCCTCAATTGGACACGAGGCAACCCCTGGCTGCACAACTTGGACCATCGCGCCTTGGCTATGACCGCCGTCGCCCACCCCCCCCAAACCCGCGCCACCCCCGGAAGGGCAATCGGGGCAGTTTCCCTTTGGTTTCCCTTTAGTTTCCCTTTGGTTTCCCTTTGGTTTCCCTTTGGTTTCCCCTTGGTTTCCCTTTGGTTTCCCTTTGGTTTCCCTTTAGTTTCCCTTTGGTTTCCCTCAAATCGACCTACTTAAAAGGTACCCTTGATAAAAAGACCTCTGAAAAACCTCGAGGGTTTGTTGTGGGCCTTTTCAATCTCTGTCCGGGACGCATCGATTTGCTTTTAGGTTTGTCCTTGGCTTGTTTTTGTTAGTTTTTCTCTTTCTCGAGATGCTCTTGGCCTTTTTTCATGGGCAACCTCTTTGGATGTTCGACCACGTTGACGGTCGTTTTCCGGCCCCAACACCCAGACTCATAAGGGGTTCAAATCAGCAGGTTGGGGGTGTGGTTTTTGGAACCCTGGCCTGATTGTTGCTAGACATGTTGTTGTGGAACGCTCAACAAATGTTGATCCCGTTGGAGAAGCCCCTCACAAGGTGGCAGGGTTCCACAAGGACTAGTTCTCCTCATTTTTTGACTGTTGTGTTGCTTGCTTAGTTGGTTTCCTCGGTTTCGTTAGTTGCTTTGATTGGTTTTTGTTTGGTTTGATTGGTGGTGGGTCGTTGTTTGCTTAGTTGTTGGTTGGTGTTTGGGTTAGTTCTTGGGTTAGTTGGTTGGTATTTGGTTGGTCATGGTTGCTTTTGAGGTGTGTGTGTGTGTGTCGTTGATGTGTGACGAGTTTTGGGTTCTCGTTTGGTTTCACCGCCTGTCCGTTGCAGGCATGGTGAATCAGATCAGCACGGAGCTGGCGGAGATCAACCCCTTGGAGCACCGCGCCTCGATCGCCCGGGACATCATCTCCAGGACCGAAATCGGCTTGCGAGCGCTTGAGGGCAGGGTCCCTACGTCCCATGGGTGGGATATGGCTTTTGTTGAGGCTGGATAGCCTTTATTTAGGCTTAAATATGGGAAAACCTGTTTGCCCAACAGAGAGGTTCCAGTTACCACTATAGGAAGCAACCAGGCGAAACCATGAAAGCCTAGAGGTGACTACTATTGCAGCTGCAAGAAGGTTTGGGCAAGCTAATAGCTGTTTTCTGGGAGGCCCAGAGGCCCCGCCTACCCCTTTGAGAATCGGACAGGACCAAGCACAAGCCGCAGCGGGCTTCCAAGCTGGACTTGTGCCTCGTTCGGCTGACCAGAGTGGGGTTGGCAGTTGCTTAGGTTGGTCGACTTGTTGGCCACTTTGGTTGGTTAGCTAGTTGGATTGTTGCGGTTTGTCGGCTGGTCGGCTGGGTGATTAATTAGGTGGCTGATTGGTCGGTGTGTCGCTTGGTTGCTGGTGTTGCATTTGTTGAATGCTGGAGCTTGAGAAGCTAGCGAGAAAGCCGCTGCCAACCCAAGTACGAGGGTATGAGCACACTCCAGCAATGCCTTTGTGTCGCAAGCGGCCACTCCGTCCATGTTCAGATTCAGTTGTCCACCAACCTTTCAAATTTGAGGTTTCCCTGGTGGATTTCAAGTTTGGTCAAGTTTATGGCTGCCAAACCTTTGATTTTCAGTTGCAGCAACATTCTAAAGTCTGAGTTTGCCAAGGTCCGTTTTCTCAGACTTCCCACTATGCGATCGAAAGGGAGGTGACGTCGGTAGATCAGGTTCCGCAGTCTTGGCTCACGTGATTGGCTCCGCTTGGGTATGTCGAAATAGGGGAGCCCCAAAACTTGTGGCTTCCCTGCTAGTGTCCCTTCAAAACCAGGTAATGAACCTCAAATAACACACCCACCTTGTCTCCCACGTGGATTGCTTTGAGAGGAAATCGGTCTTCCAGCGACCTTCAGTGAGGTTCCATGGTGAGAGCGAAGCTGGGAAATCTCGGGGCGGCCACGCTTCTCAGGGGAAGGAATGGGTGACTGCAAGGACCCTCAGAGGTTTGTTTCATTGCAGTGGACGGAAACGATAGCCTCGGCTAGAACCTCCGTCGGGGCCAACAAATATCATGGCTTTGGCACTGACCGGTTACGAAGGTCCGATTCAGGAAGTCGCCCTTCCCAAAATGTGCGTGTGAGGTTCGATCAACATACACGTCCAGCAGTCGATGTCCGTTTGCGAGGAACCTGGGCTCACCAGTTTTCCATGCAACAGCACGGGCTCCTAATTGTCCATGCCTTTTTTGGGCAAAGACGCGATTTACATCCAGGCTTCTATCACCGACCAAGGGGTTCATGGGGAGCTAAATTCCTTATGGTCCCCTCTAAATATGGCTTGAAAGCCCCCCACCCCATTCGAACTATTTCGGGCCCAGCTGAAACTCTCAGTGGGTCCGGTGGTTTCTCAATACAGTACTTTCAGGATCCTTGCGGAATCTTACGGAAAATCAATTCGAAGGATAAGCCATCCAGTTGGTTTCCTGTCAGATCAGATCAACGGATTTTTCAGGTCTTCCCCTGGCATCCGGGATCATTTTCTCATCCGCTCGAGGTGGTCCTTCGTGCCCCACTACCCCTACCCGCCACCGGGGCGTCGCTACGCCATGGGCTTCCAGCAAGGCAAGGAGCAAGCCCATGGCTTGCACTCGGAAAGACCAGGGGGGGGTGGGGGGGGGGGCGGGGGGTTGGCCCATGTTTTGTACCAGCAAAATACCAATCCTTGGGGGGACCCCATGTTCGTACAAGCAAAACACCAACGGGTCGGTCAATGCACTATGCTGCATTTGTGGTTGTGTGTGTGTGTTTTCCCCAGGCTGAACGGATGTGTCTTCCTGGAAAACAACCAGTTTGGGCGGGATCGCAATTTTGAGAAACACACAGATGGTGATGGCTGGTCAAGGCTTCATACCTTGGTGGCACATGCAAACGGATCTAGAAAACAGTTCGGATTCCCCTTTTGTGGATCCCTCTTCCAGGTTACCCTTCTGGCGGGTTGGAACAGGTCAAATCCACGAAAAGCGCGTGCAAGCCTTTTCCTAAAGATGGGTTGCCAGGCATGACTGATATGCCACTCGTTTATGCTCATGTGTTTGTTGTGGCACCTTACGTAAATGGATGTTGAAGAGAAATAGTCACATCTGGCAAATGATTTATGATTCTATATATTCTTATTGATTCATGATTTGTATGATTGTTCATTTATTTATTTTATTTGTCTATTTATTGTGTCTGTTTGTTTATTTGATTATTGTTTGATATATTGCGGCACCGCAAGCGGCAAAGTTGTCATTTGTTGAGGCAGAGAGGACCATTTCAGCGGCAAGCAACAAGTTTGGACTTTTGCTGGGCCAATCCACTTGCTTTGCTTCTGATAGGCGGCACTTGGCCGAAGTCCTTCTTGCTGATGGTGCACACCACCCATGCCAACCGCGCGGATGGCGGCAGCACCTCTGACCGGATTCTGCGGTGGGTGCGGACTGGAGCCACAATGCAAACCAATGTTGATAATGAAGGTTGGGAAGGGGACAGTCCCAGCCACAAATAGGTGCGGATATTTGCCCTGTTGATTCTTTAAGATTTGGCGTAGATCGCTTGAATCCAAGTTTGATTATGGCTCACGTGTTGCTTGGTCCAAAAGCCGGAGACCATGTTGCATCATGCTAAATTTGCCCCCCAAAAAAATGCAAGACTATTTTGGGTGCCCACATTTGGGGAAGTGCCCTTGAGTGCTTTGAGAGTTGCAGTGTTTGTTGTCAGGTTGAAGGCATGCCTTTGTTGCTGCAGTGGAGCCTGCCAGCAAAAAGTGACTCGTGTCATGTGGACCATTGGTTTGTACCTTCTTTGATCGGCCGTCAAGTTTTGTGCTTTGATGTCTAGTCCACGTGCCTGTTACATTGGCCAGCGAACATCGTATGCGACCCAGGCACTGAGCAGATGGTACTATCCAACACTTGCAGCTACCCAGTGTATCGCGTGATGTTGTGGTACAACAACCCCTACCACTTCTACAGTGGCTGGGTGGAGGCTGGGCGCTGACGAGAGCTGGATGGGTCTCAAAGGGCGCAAGGCACCCAAGGGAAGCCACGAGGCCAACTTCATGTGAGGCGGGCCCAAAACCGCAGCTGGCCATTTTTTAGTTGGAAACGCGCCCTTTTTCCGACCCCAGTGTTGTTTTTTTCTCCGCATGTCAGACAAGCCCTGTTGCTCAATTCGAGGACAAACCATTTTCCGATATCATGGGGGGGCAAACCCAGTTGTGTAATGCTGCACTCATGATGGTGTTTGTTGTCTTGGTCCCCCAGTAGTGCCCTTCTACCCTTTTTTGGGGGAGGGCTCCCCTCTAAAATAGAGAACAGAAAAAAGAGGTGCCCTTATTCGAACCTCTCTACCGGAGGACCTAGTTGTTTGTCTGAACAACGGCTTGGAGTTGTCTTGCAAAAAGGCCAAGGGTGACAAGGTCATGGCCCTTGGTCCTGCCCACAGTCACTGGGCACAAGGCTGCGATAGTTCTTGGCTCTGAATCAGTATCTTAATGTAGTCAGAAGTTTTATCAGGCCATAGTTGATCCACCTCACAGATGTTCTCACGGTGACTTCTCAGCCGTTGAACATACTAAGTGGCTTATAACATATAACCGTGCTTTTCAAGGTTTCTTCCGCCTGAGAGCTTCACTTCGAATGGCTAGAAGGTGCCATATTTGTTTTGCTTCTGTCCCCACTTGGGTGCGCGCGGGTGTGTGTGTGTGTGCTTTTTTGCGG